CACCCATTTGCTTGGTCAGCTCCTGCTCATCCTTTGAGTCTCACCCTTCCCTGACCTCCCAGATTAGATAAGGTTGCCCTGCTAGACATGTTCCCCTCCCGGAACTTCTCAGCACTGATTACAGTGGTAACTAAGTGATTCTTTGCTCATGTTGTTTGATTCTCCCTAAACTCCACGTCGGCATTTGTCGGATGAATCTGAGGCCACTCAGGCCATGGCATTCTGAGACTGATCTGTGAGTGTGCAAGAGTGTCGTAAGAGAACCCCGGTCTGTGTTTCCTGTGATGCAGTACTCGAGATGTGCCTTCGCCTTCAGTGATTTCCGCAGCGCTGGGCAGGAATGTCACTTCAAAGCAGGGACTAGGGCACCCAGAAGACTGGCTCCCAGACTTTTTGCCTCAGTGCTCTGCTGGCCTGACCTCCAGGCTGGTCATTGCCCTTTGTTTATACTCTGGACTGAGCTGGAACTCCCACTTTGGAACATTCCCACAGTGCTTGGTGCTTCCTTGTATTGTTGTATTTTTCTCTGGAGGGGAAGTGACCAACATCAGACTTTCCTCCCAGCACACAAATTCCATGCACAAAGCTTCATGTCAGCTACTGGGCACCGGCTCCAGAGCCCAGCTTCCATCTCCTGCTGGCACACCTGGGGGCGGGGTGGGGAGGAGGTGGTGAAGGTGCACACTACGGCGATCACTGGCCTTCCCCTTCTGAGCAGTGAGCAGTGCCTTGCAGGACTCCCTGACGCAGGTTTCTTCTGAATCCAGTTGCATCTTGCATTGAGGACAGGACTCTGTAAAATGTTTCAAACTTCAGTAACCACAGTGTTACCTCCTTGGTTTATGTCGCTTGCATTCCGTAATCAAAAAAGTATTCTGATGATACAAGTGTTTGGAAGTGAAATATTATTTTATTTGCGCTAAGGGAATGAGTTATTTATCAGAATGTTGCAATGGATCTTACTGGGATATTTAAAAAAACAAAAAAATCTCTGTGATGGTAAATAATTTTTCTTTAATGTATTGTCTCTAAAGCTGGATGTTCATAGATAATGAAATTAAAAAGAAAAAACCCAGCAATGGTAACTATTCTTTAAGTGTGCCAAGCACCTTTAAAACATCTTATTTAAGCTTTAGACTGCCTATGAAGTAGGCAGCATATTAGTACATACTTTACAGAGGTGAAAAAAATCAGGTCCAGGAGGTGAAGTACCTGTCGCCCTGATGGAAAGTGCCCACATAAAGATTCAAACTGGCTCAGCTCTCCTCCAGAGCCAGCACTTTCCACTCCTCCACCGCCTTGTCCCTCTGGTCAGGAGGAAGAGGTAGGAGGTTTCCCGGCCAAGAATTAAAACTCTTGGGCTGGATCTGGCTCTCTCACTGAGTGTGTAGCCTTGACCCCCGCCCTGCCCTGCCCCAGGCTCTTAGGAGGAGATGATTTTGTCAGTCTGTGTCCTTAGGCCCTACCCTTCTGTGAGTCCGTGATTTGGGGCTTGCAGTAGTAATACCTCAGGAGTAACTTGGTAACACGCGGTCTGACTGAAAGCAGTCCACGTACCCACAGCACCCTCGGAGGATTTGCGCAGGACGTGGAGACACGTGATGCTGGCCATGCGGTGAGCTTTCCACTTCTGGTGGTCTTCCACTTTTGATTCGTCTCGTCTGTTTGAGTCCCACGTTGTCTCCCTAAGGTGTGGACTGGATGGGCCACTTGCCCATCTTGGGTGGTGAGCATATTCACCCTTGGGGACAGCTCTGGAAGACGCTTTTTCTGAGATGAGAACTAGGGAGGAATTCTTAAAAATAGGTGATTCGATTTATCTTCCCCAACCCCCAGCCCCCGTCCAGTTCACACAGAATCATTTTGGGAGGCCGTGGTTACCCTAGAAGCAGTTTAACCACGGGGTCCTCACTTCAGAGCTGCTCTCAAGGAAATTTCTAGTTTGTTTGGAAGGTTCATCAGAAAATTAGCTGTTAGAATGTGGCAGCCCCTAGCTGAGAAATGGCAGCATCGGCCTTGAGCCCAGGTTTCCCTGGTGACCTGTCGTTCTGTGTGCGTGCAGGCACATGGGGAACTGACCCAAACCCAGTTCCTGACTTCAAAGGCTTTACAGACTAGTGGGGATAAAAAAGATACGGATGAAACTCCAGGTTGGGGACTTTGCCTGAGCTGAGGGGTGGGGAAGGTGGATGAAACAGCACTCGGCCGGGCCCACACCTCTGGCGCTTGCAGGAAGGAGAGTTCATTTATGGATTAGAAACTCCGATTGGGCTTCCCTGGTGGTGCAGTGGTTAAGAATCCGCCTGCCAATGCAGGGAACACGGGTTCGATCCCTGGTCCGGGAAGATCCCACATGCCGCGGAGCAACTAAGCCCGTGCATCACAACTACTGAGTCTGCGCGCTAGAGCCCGCGAGCCACAACTACTGAAGCCCTTGTGCCTAGACCCCATGCTCTGCAACAAAAGAAGCCACCGCTATGAGAAGCCCGCGCACCACAACGAAGAGTAGCCCCCACTCGCCGCAACTAGAGAAAGCCCACGCACAGCAACGAAGACCCAACGCAGCCAAAAATAAAATAAAAATAAATAAATTTATTAAAAAAAAAAAAGAAACTCCGGTAAACCCTTGGAGGGGGGGTTTGGGGGGGGGGGGGGGCGCGGGGAGCCTTCATTTGTTTATTCCTTCATCTGTCTGCCCATTTGTTCAGTAGTTATTAAGCACCTACCGTGCGTGGGTATTCTGCTGGTGCTGGGCGGCATCGTGTGCAGAGCATTCGACAAGTTAAAACTTTCTTTAGGTGAAAAGAGACATTAAGATGCAGGTTCAGAAGTAGAGCCTTTTTGATCTATTATGCTTTTGTCGATATTTTGAACTAAATGTCTTCTGGAAGAAATGAGGTCAGATATAATATCTGGCATTGCAGACTTCCCTAAGGAAAATTGTTACGGTTTTTGGCAGGAAACGGAAGTCTCTTCAGAGTGTACCGAAAGGGTGGGGTGTTTGCTGATGGAGTTGGGGTGGGTGCTGAACTTGAATTGGATCTTTTACCAGCTCTTAGGTTTCAGCGGCCCCCTCTGGCACGGTTGGGGTGCGAGCCTTTGCTCTTTTGCAGTTTGTGGTTGCAGTTTGATTGGAAGGTGAGTTCATCGTACGGTGTGAGGGAAGCGGGGTTGGCCGTGGCCTTCACTGAAGCATTTGCTCTCTTTCCTGCCTGTCATTGGAGGAGTGAAACGGACCCGTGCTGTTTGCTTTAAGAAGTTTGGAATCTCAGGCTGTGATTTTGTAAAAATGATTTCTGTGTTGGTAGATCAAATAGGAAACCTTAAGATCTTGTAGAGATTTGGATTTGGCTTCATTCATTTTGCATACATTGGCAGGATTATTTGTTTCCCTCAGAATGGGCAGTGGCTGGTGCAGCACGCTGGCCGTGGCCCTGGGAGTGGTAACAGAGCACACTGAACAGTTGGAGCACTAGTGCATTTAGTGCCTCTCGAACTCCATTTCTTTGGTTCTGTGGGTCTTTTGTGGAATACTGTCTTTAAATTTTACTCTGGCTCCCACCTTGTACCCTCCAACCCCAATAGAACGAAATTCGCTGTGATTATGTGCCTTTGGCTAAATTGTCTGAAGCCAGATATCGGCCATCTGAGCTAATACAGTTTCACAGTCAAAGAGTATTACGGTGTTGGTCATAACGATTTACCAAGGGATTCCTAAGTGTCCCTTTTATTTGATCCTCATTATGTTGCAGGAAGGGGGACCCCTTCCAGGGCCCGAGACTGAGCTCTTGTCTAACACTCGGAAATGAACTGTCCGAGGAGACACATGTGCTGACAAAGCAGGAGACTTTATTGGGAAGGGGCGCCCGGGCGGAGAGCAGCAGGGAAGGGAGCCCAGGAGGACTGCTCTGCTACGTGGCTCGCAGTCTCGGGGTTTATGGTGATGGGGTGAGTTTCCGGGTTGTCTCTGACCAATCATTCTGACTGAGGGTCCTTTCTGGTGGCACGTGCAACCACTCAGCCAAGATGGATTCCAGCGAGGAGGATTCTGGGAGGTTGGTAGGACATGTGGACTGGCGTCTCTTCTCTCTCCTTTTGACCTTTCCCCTATTCTTCTGGTTGGTGGTAGCTTGTTAGTTCCCTGTTCCTTACCAGGATCTCCTGTGGTAAAATAACTTATGCACATTGTTACTGTCTTTGCCTGGCCAGGGCCGGGCAGTTTCAGTCAGTGTTTTCCCCTAACCATTACAGCCGGGGAGGTGGGACTACTGGCATTATGCCCAATTAACAGATGAGAAAACTGAGAAAACTATGCTCTGTTGGCAGAGGCAGAATTTGAACCCAGGTGGTTGGTCCTGCAGCCAGTCTCACCCACTGCATGTGCTCCAGGGATTCTTTAAGAGCTTTTCTACCCTCAAACTCTGGTATCTAAATCAATGAAATCTTTCCACGTGCCTTGCCATTTTCTTTGTTTTTACCAAAAAGCATATGATTTCATGCCCTTCTTTCTTCCAGGAAACCTGTTGTTCAGAATTTAGGTGGTGCCACATTTTCTCCAGAAAAATTAATTCCAAAATAGAGTGTAAGATTGGAGCTTGAGGTTACAAACTCCTAGCTGCTTGTCCTCTGAGGTCTTTTCTTCTTTGGAAACTAAAGTGCAGTTTGCATTTTGATGTTTGTTTGTTTTTCCCTTGGAAACACAGGATTAATGAAGTCAGCTTGTTTTCTCTCTGATGGAACTTGTCACCTGATGCACACTGGTCTGAGGGCCAGAATCCTTAAATAGAAGGTGTGATGTTAGGGTCTCTGTGAAAATGTTTCTTGGGCTTCCCTGGTGGCGCAGTGGTTGAGAGTCCGCCTGCCGATGCAGGGGACACGGGTTTGTGCCCCGGTCCGGGAGGATCCCACATGCCACCGAGCGGCTGGGCCCGTGAGCCATGGCCGCTGAGCCTGCATGTCCGGAGCCTGTGCTCCGCAGCGGGAGAGGCCACAACAGTGAGAGGCCCGCGTACCGCCAAAAAAAAAAAAAAAAAAAAGTTTCTTGTGGCACCCCCCCCAAATTGGTCTATTTTTAACTTTCAGTTTTTTGATCATCTCATTTCCCACTCCTCCCCCAAAGAAAAGCAGTGTCCAAAGTGTTTGGAAATTAATCTGAGGCTGCTGTGCCAATGAGTAACAGACTGTCAAAGGAGGGCGGAGGAAGAGCTTCCTAGTATAGACGTACCGAGACCCACCGCGATAACAAGCCTTTTATTCTGATTTCCTTCCTGGGAGTGAAGGGAGTTTGAAAGGCAGAGGCAAGGACCTTCCAGAGTAGAGTTCAGGTTTTTCTTGTGAGGATTTACCAGGGCTCACCGCTGGGTGATTGGGATGTCTGAGAGATGAATCCCCTTCCAGCTAGTGACTTGGTCCGTATTCGCTGTTCAACAAAGACACCTGGGCTTGGAAGGGCCCTGTGATCCTCTGGCTTTAGAATGGGCAATGCTATTGAAAAACAGAAGCCCCTGAAACGAAGCCATCTGTGCCCCTGGAAACAAGGTAAGAAGGCCCTGTGCTTCATCTCCAGGAGGAAGGAAGGAGGCAGCCTTCTGTTGGGAAACTTTGGTTTAAAACCAGACCTGAAACTGCTTGGGGAAATACCTTTCATCAGAAAATGCTTGCAGTTCAGCATATTTTAAAGAAAATTAACAGGCAGTTCTCCTAAGGAATAAAGCGATTTGCATCTCAATGTGATGGCCTGGCTTGGCTGAGAACTTAGTTCAGTTTGAGATTTTTATTTAGTACAGCATACGTCCGTTGGTTGAAAATTTTCAGCTTTAAAAAATATCCCAAGGGGCTTCCCTGGTGGCGCAGTGGTTGAGAGTCCGCCTGCCGATGCAGGGGATGCGGGTTCGTGCCCCCGTCCGGGAGGATCCCACATGCTGCGGAGCGCCTGGGCCCGTGAGCCATGGCCGCTGAGACTGCGCGTCTGGAGCCTGTGCTCCGCAGCGGGAGAGGCCACACAGTGAGAGGCCTGCGTACCGCAAAAAAAAAAAAAAAAAAAAGATATCCCAAGTAAAAATTTTGATATCCAGGAGTTTGAATCTTTTGTGACAGTTTGGTTTAGAGAATGTTATTAATAGCTTTTAAATATATAGCGCCTTTCTTCCAAAGAGTTCAAAGTACCTTCTATTAAAAAAAAAACAAGTCTCATATTTATCAATCCTAGATGTCTGTGACACGGGACAGCAACACCTGTTAAAACCTACTCGGTGTCACTCAGGCTTGTGTTAGCGTCAGCTTTGAGGAGGAGAAAGCCAGAGGGGCCACACGGCAGTATGCAGCCCCAGGGCCTTTGGGTCTTCCAGTGCACTCGGCTGCCCTTTTCACTGTTATTAACCTAGCAGACCAGCAGTTCGCAGACCCGGCAGGCACCAGAATACCAAAGATGGTGCCCACAGGACTTCATCAGGTATTGGCTCTTTTATCTCCACTTGCCAAAAAGGGTGGAGATAGCACCTGACCTGTAGCAAGACAGTTTGAGCGCAAGCGTATGTATGGGTGTGTGTTTATGAACAGAAAAAATAAACTGGAAGAAAATGCATGGGAATGTTAATAATAGTTGTCTTTTGTGGTCAGATTATATATAATTTTTTTTCTTCTTAATAGGGAAAAGTAGGTCGGATGCTAATTTACCGTTCGGTTCCAGCCCCTCTGACTTTCCATCAGTCATTCATTCTTTGTCCAACAAGTTACTTTGAAAAAGGTATTCCTTACTGGTCCTTGATCAAATCCTGGTGTGAACAAAACAGTAATAAAAGACATTTGGGGGACAGTTCAGGAAATTTCAGTATGAACTGCGTGGTAGATGATATTTGGGAACTGTTGTCTATGTTATTACGTGTGATTATGGTAATGAGTCATGTAGGAGAATGTCCTTTTTGGGGTTGTCATGCTGAAGTATTCAGGGCTAAAGGGTTATGCTGGCTATAATTTTACTCTAAAATGGTTCAGGTGACTGAATGAACACATACATACAGATAAGAAAAACAGGATCATTTTAACAACTGTTAGAATCCAGGTTATGCATATATGAGGTTTGTTATATTTTCTTTAATGTACTTTACTCATTTGGGGGAGAAAAACATTAAAAAAAAAAGCAGTTGCTGCTTACATCATAGTACCTTGTCCTTCAGAAGAATGAATCTTAGCAGACATGGGTATTTACTGGTGGGTCAGGATGTAACACTCTTTCAGTGCCATGTGGCCTCGTATCTCCAGCCACCAAGAAGAAAATTGGCATTGATCCAGTAACTCAAATCACTTTTATAACAGGAATTTAATATTTTACTTACTTTTAAGTTGTCTCTGGTTTTCCTTAGAAAACGTGTGAGTTAAAACTTCTTAATACTTCCAGAGGAAGCAACTGGGCTTACAGACAAAAATTAAAGCTTTTGTGTTTTGTGGTGTTGTTTAGTTGTGTTCAGAAATTTAAATGAGAGGAGTTGATAGTAGGGATTTCAGGATCCACAGTGAATTGGGGATAAAAAGAAGAGCAATTAATTGCCCCTGATTTCAAAGTCTTCACAGATCCCATTTACCAGGGCCGTGTCTCTGCCAGTGTAGGGATTTGTTGGTTTGAGCAGGGTAGACCCTGGACCCGCAGTTTGTTCTCCAGTCCAAGGATCCACAATAACAATGGTGTGGAGTTTATTTATTCTTCACAGTTTGTCTGTTTGTCTTTGTCTTTAAAGGTTGTTTGTATTTTGGAACTGGGATTTTGGAACAATGGTTAGGAATGATTTAGTGCAGGGGTCCCCAGCCCCTGGGCCACGGACCAGTGTCGGTCCTCGGCATGTTAGGAACTGGGCCGCACAGCAGGAGGTGAGCGGTAGGCGATTGAAGCTTCATCTGCTCCGCATCGCTCACATTACTGCCTCAACCATCCCCCCTCACCCCCTACCACCACCACCCCCACCCCCACCCCCCGCCCAGGTCTGTGGAAAAATTGTCTTCCGCGAAACGGGTCCCTTGTGCCAAAAAGGTTGGGGACCACTGATTTAGTGGACCCCAGCCACCACCCTGACCCTGATGGGAGTGCATTTTTCGAAGTCCAAGCTCAGTGGATGACTGATGGCACCAGGCTCTAGAGCAAGCAGCATGGTATCCTTGTCTGCTTTAGGGGCAAGTGAAACTGGGGCACGTCCTTGTGTGCATTTGCTGCAGGCAGCTGGAACTGCCCAGCCTGCCCCTGACTTCTGTCCGGTCTGTGTGTTGACCTGCGATGGCAGACTTTAACCAGAGCCAGACAGTCGTGATTAGGAAGGTCAAATGCAGAATAAATTCTGAAGGGACATTTAAAGGAAATCATTATCTGCCTTTTGGATCATTTGTGTTTCTGTTTCCATGTTGTAGACCTGGAAAGTTAAAAAACTGAGGTGACAGAATACTAGTTTGAGAAACATGAATCTCACTTCTGCTTGGTGTCACCCTAAAGAGCATTTTACACCTAATAGAGAAATGTCTAATGATTTTAAACAGTGTGGGACGTGCATCCTTTGAAGGGACCAACATTATACTCTCTTATAGTTCTAGTTTTTCTTATAGCTCTCAGAACCCGAAACATAAGAAAGAAACGGTACTGCCTTTATTGGTTTTTACAATAATGAATGCTTGCAGTGGTTGATAAATTTAAGTCATTTGCATTTCCATAGTGAGTTCTAGCAGGCCCTGTCCAAAAAAATAGGATGGGAGGTAGGATAAGGCAGTGGCTTCCTATGATCCCGAGTGGTCCATCCAGCCAGAGCTCTGCTGTCCCTGACTTTCTGTCTGACCTTGAACAAGTGAATTTTGTAATCCCAGATCGTTTCCCCACTGTCCTTACCTCCAGTGGCCTTCAAATGACTACATTCCAGCCCTCACCACAGGGATGGGCCGGTGGAGGGCCGGTGGAGGGCCGGTGGGGGGGGGGGGGGGGGGGAGTCTGTTTACTATAGTACCTGACCAGAAACCTGAGGGCTGTCTCTTGGGATCATTGTTCTGTCCTCCATACTAGCACAGCGTATGGCACTTGGTGCCCTCCGTGAGTGCACTCGGTAACCAAACTGAGTGCTGCCTGGCCTCCAGTGCTACCACGGGTATACATGAGGTCCGAAAGGTGCAGCATGGTTCCTGGTGCATGGTAGGTGCTCAGTAAATGGTATCTACCAGTGCTGGCGGGTGTGTGGTGGAAACGTTCCGTCTTTGCCTTTCTCTGCCCAAAGTAGAGGCGTCGAGGGATGAAAACAGGTACACCCTCCTCTGTCCCACAGCAAGTCTGAATTTACAAAGACTAAGTAAATTTATTGATGATTGTTCACACTGCAAAAGATTGCTTCACAAAAGGCACTTAAATCACAGTCGGCATTTCCTTATTGATTCATTGACCCAGACACCTGGGGAAACCTTCAATTGAGAGCTAAATTGAACTGCTCTGAAATATACCTACTATCCCCTCCAGTGCTCTCAAAAGAATTCAAGACAAATACCGTATGCTAACACATATATATGGAATCTAAGAAAAAAAAAACGTCATGAAGAACCTAGGGGTAAGACGGGAATAAAGACACAGACCTACTAGAGAATGGACCTGAGGATATGGGGAGGGGGAAGGGTGAGCTGGGACTAAGTGAGAGAGTGGCATGGACATATATACACTACCAGACGTAAAATAGATAGCTAGTGGGAAGCAGCCGCATAGCACAGGGAGATTAGCTCGGTGGTTTGTGACCACCTAGAGAGGTGGGATAGGGAGGGTGGGAGGGAGGGAGACGCAAGAGGGAAGAGATGGGAACATATGTATATGTATAACTGATTCACTTTGTTATAAAGCAGAAACTAACACACCATTGTAAAGCAATTATACTCCAATAAAGATATTTAAAAAAAAAGAATTCTTTGTTTCTTCTGGTCTTTTTTTTTTCATGAATAACTTGAAGGTTGCTTACAGTGGTCATTTTGGCTTTCGGGAATATAACACGGGCGGAAGTTTCCTTGGGAATTAAAAATTGCAGCCGTAGTTGCAAATAGAATTGTTATCTCCTTCAGAAATCCCAGCAGCTCAGGGCCATACCGGCCTGGTAAATGGAAACGTTAATGATTTGCATGTTTGTACACAGCTGGGTGTGAGCAAATGAAATTAACACCCTCGGTGGAAGAGCTGAGGCTGAAGTGTCTTTCCCAGGCCTGGGCTGACTGTGGGCTTAGCAAGGCTGGGAAGGAGATTGCCTGGTTGGGTGGGGGTGGGGACTCAAGGATTTGCATAAATTCCACATGCTCTCTGGTTCCTGTGCTGTGGGGGCGGATTTACAATTGTTTGGATTCCAGTCAGCAAGGGCGCTTAGACTTGCCTCTACAAGCTTGTACCTATCTAGGTAGTCAAGAAGCATCTGGGGCCGCTGGATGCCTGTGTGCCAGATCATTAATATTGACGGCTTTTCTGGCCAGAGCTGGAGCCGGCCTACCTACCCCCATGCATTGTGTGGTCTGATTCCATTGCTGTGGGGCTGCAGTGCTCCAGA